AATCCCACTAGACGTTGCATCTCACTGTGTTCACTCACAACGCACTCAATGTTTTCTGTTCTGTTTTCGGTCTTAACGTTTTGGATATTTTCCTATTAGGATGTTCGCAGCCAGGTTCAGTGAGATCAGGATCTGGAGAACTTACAAATCGGCAGCAAACACCACGATATAATTTGCACAGTTGGAGCTCTTAATACCGGTGGCAAGGACGTTTTGTCCCGAAAGGCAAAACGTTAGTCAACCTTATCAGCCGGTTTACATCATCCCGTTTTGTGCGCTCTAAAAGTTGTTGACGCATTTCGTTCACTTGCTGTGGAGTTGACCTTTGCCTATTTGTACACGTACGTGCACTAGGATCTACCTAGCCCGATTGTGTTATGTACGTGCCCGTTGTTTTGCGTCAGTGATTGAGGAGAATAAACCCAATTGCTAGCATCTCGCCAGCTGCTTCTTTCAGTTTTAAGGTGATGAATGAAGAGGAGCCAGTGCTATAAAGTCTGCTCTCCCAATAGCTTTAATTGCGAATCGATACTCTCAAGTGTTTCGAACCAGCCGTGGTTCTGTTGATGAAATCCAACCTAATCTTTCTACCATATCCGCCTTCCCCCTCCACCGGAAGCCACCGTCTATGTGCTCGTTCCAGTTGTTCACCTCCGTCCCTCCATCTGTCACCTTAGCTGAAACCCTGATTTATCGCCCCACACGCTATTAACTCATAATATGATACTTCAGTTACATTGATGCATCGTCCACTCGAGACGCACCACTTAAAGGCAATCGGTCATGCAGAGAATCTCTTCCGATCGTACCATAGTTGTTCAACACCCGCATTTGTGTACATTCCGAACCGACAAAGGTACATTCCTATTCTGAGTATGATACAGTCAAAAATCAACCTGTTTGCAGAGATAAAACTATACTCCTCTGTTGCCTATCGCTTGCCCTCAAAGTCAAATCAAGGCATGAAAGGCTTTATACACTATGGGGGGGAACTTCAGCATGATTCACAAATTACAATGGAGTGAGAAAACAATATGTTCAAATCGATGAAAAAGGGATGATAAAGCTAATGTGAGATCCAGGTTGAAAGGATAGCGATAATAGATCTGGGGTTGAATAAGGTGCTTACTGAATACGTAATAATACTGTCATAATGAGTGAGTGTGTACGCGGGGGTAGTTTCGAAGCGGTAGCGATAATTAATTGATAAAACAATGACCGCCATTAGGTGACAGTCGTGTGGTCAACCGATCAACGATATCCTAGTGGCATGTACCGCTGGATCCTGATACGAATTCGGGATGCCCTAAAATCAGAGTACGATATGTATCTTTAAACTTGGAAAAATGAGCCATATATCTAATGAAGAATAATGTAGGAGATGGCAAATTCAAGTAGTAAGCAGTGAGCGACATTAAGCTTTTAAGGCTGTAAGTATAAAAGGACAACGTACAAAGGATGGTTTCAACATGCGTGGACCGTGTCCGGTTTTGAAATTTAATAACACCTAGTTATTGCACGTAGGAGGTTTGAGAGAAAGGTTGACCACAAGCAACGAGAGCTGTTCGAATCCAGATTCGAGGGTATAGCGATGTCAACTCGGTAACTCGGTAGACCAGTCGAAACGGTTAATCAAACGGTTCTTTATAGGTGTATAGATTAAAGGAATATCATTGCTAGAGATAAAGTGATTTGTATTGTTTTAACAACCTGGAGATCGTATATCACATCCGGATGACAGTCGGACAAACAACTTGCTGCTCTTTTGCGTTCGTTCGGAACCGAAATAGTACATACGCTGAACGTCTGTTTCTCTTCCCCGTGCCTAAATGGAGGTCAGCTGACATGTTTCAGTTTACATAACCATTAACCTTTCACTTGGGTTTGCTGCCTTTGGGTTATGCATCCAGTCGATCATTGGCGAAGGAGTGTGGGGAAGAATTGGACTTCTGGAAGCAGCAGTATCAACGTGAGGATACGGATACATATAAAGTAAAAATTTGCACGAGCACCACTGTTTACAGTACCCATCCGTGGCACTGATTAATAATCGATTAGACTGATCTCGATGTCTCCAAACTGCGAGGTTCACTGCGACCTATATATCCATTCCTCCTGGTCGAGGTTTTCCTATTCTAATGCCAAATGGTAGAGTTGGTTTCTGTTGTACGAATAAAGTGTAATATCATATCATCGTTATTTCTCATTATGTTTGTCTTTGTTGACAGCTGCCTTTTTATTTTCATACCTTTTAGTCATGCTTCATTCGTTATTGTAAAAAACCACACCCTAAGGTTTTGAATGCGATGGAATTTTGTGTGCGTAATAGCCAAAGAGAAGCACTACTGGACATTCATTTCGTCCGTGTTCACACTCGTCAGTGGCCCGTACCACTTTTTTCATTGTAGACAGTATTGTGTAATGATCAGCCGAAGAGGTGAACCCCAGAGTCACGAGGTCCTACGGTTCACTTATTGGAAGCGGCAACCTAAGTCCCTGGACTCGGAATGGCAAACCAAATAAGGCCTCAGCTGTATAAGCGTCGCATTGAGGCGGATAACGGTGAAGTTGCCGACCACCAAAACCGGTTGAGGGTGGCGGAATCCGAACCTAGTGCCGAAAGCATATCAGAGACAGCGACTTAAGCCGCCTTACCACCACTTGAGTGATGAACTTACTATTTGGGAGTTGAGATCTGTGTCCCTTTAGGAATCACGGTCAATGACCGACACATTGAGCGCATACCGGTGAAATGTTCGCTTCCCATTTCTCAGTGTCGTCTGCGGAGTGAAGTGTATATCAGACATTACACGGGTCCTCTAATCCGGGCAAGCAACCCGGACTAGTTGTCCATAAGCGAGCTATATTCGTTATCACTACGTACCGTGAATTCGCATTTACATGTAACCGAATTCGTAACATTCGCTTTCTTTGTGTTCGTTCACACTTGTTATTTCATGAATTGCATTTGACTATTCATTTCCCAGATGGCCAACCAGGCCTTGCGTCAGATCGTTGCCGGATATAGAATGCGGGCTCCGGAAAGTTGCCCTCCAGAAATTTACACCCTGATGCGACGGACCTGGCACATGAATCCGGACATGCGACCCAGTTTTGCCAAAATTCTCACCGAACTGGTTGCTCATCTGGACACCTGCTCGGGAGATAAAGTTACAGTGACACAGCGAAAATCGCCCCCATTTCACTTAAACCTGTCCAACCGGTTTAACGAAGACGATCCGTGGCAACAGAAATCATTCGGTCGAGTTACAATGACACCCGATCGTTTCGTGGAATCGGTGGGTCTATCATGATTTTTCCGATTTTTCATTGAGCATTTTCTTGCCGAACTAGTATGCAATATAACATGATAATGGGTGAATATTCGCTCGCTTGATGTGACATTGTGTGATTTCTATAATCTCCATTTCAGCTGTATTTACCCAGCTGAGGTAGGGTTGGATAGGTCTCATGTCGATGGGGGTTCAGTTGAGCTAGGCCTCAGCACATCGTTAAAGATAGCGTTGATGAATATGAATCAGAGTTGGATTGGATTTTTTGATTACCTCACCCGCGCCTAGTTTCTTTAGGCCCTCATTCCTAATTAGACGTAAAATATTATAACTGTCNTAACTGTCACCAATAGCCACAGCCTTTCCAGTTCTCTATATTTTGCTATCCACCACCTCTCTGGGTCGTTCCGCAAGACTCTTGATGCGTTAGTGTTTAAGGGATTCGCTCGCTGAGACATATTCGGCACCAAGAGGAATGGTTTTGCGGGCATCCACTAAAGCAGCTGAGCTCCATCGGTTGTACTTTGATCGTGCACCACACTCCACAGTTTTGATCGACATTTGGATAGCTTCCTTCATTGACATCCAGTGTTTGTTGAGTCCTTCCACAGTTGGTTGGACTAAGAGGCAATATGAAATCCCGTTTCGAAGGTCGATTTGCAGCTATCGTTTACATTGTACTGTAGGCATCCGTTTCGAGTTGCTTTGTTCTAGATATTTACCAGGCTTAGGGGGAATCTGGATCATAACAAAGCATGATCCGTATCCATTGGTATTAACTAGTGAATGTGGTGATCGTGATTGGATCCTCACTGGAATTCGCTGATAACCATGTGACCGGTAAAAGGTAATCGCACAGAAGAACTACACCTTTTCCTATCAAGCCTAAGCCAAAATCCCCAGTCCTTTAGCCTCAATCCTCATTATTATATCAAATGCTGCAGCGTTAATAACCTGACGATAGTAATATAAGTGCATTTTGCTAAAGGTGTTTATAATCCTAGGTATGTTAATATATCCATCTCTCGTGAACAAAAGTTCGCTTTAGGCAGAGATGCGGAACGATAAGCATGACCTTTTTTGTGGTATCACGTTCAAATTTATTTCAGGGCTTATCATTGTAACAAAATGTACCGTTTGTATTACATTTTTGATTTTTACTCACAGGAGTATCACACGTTGTACGGAAACACTCAAGCTGTATGAAATATGTCAAATAGTTTGACAATACGGGCTCATCTTTTAAACCTTCTCCAATCAATTTGCGATGCAGCGTGCGACCGCCACACTTAGTCATTTATTAACCAAGCAACATCAATATTTGTGGAAAATGCATTTGACCTCAAAATATTCCGATACTTTTTTGATCTGACTTGCCTACAGCGGTTTGACTAAAGTTTGCGCGTCGAGGCTAAAAGACTACGGGTCGTGACTAAAAGATTGTGGGTCAAGGCATTGCTGGTTTTGGCTAAAGCTTGATGGGAAAAGGTGTAGACAGAGAAGCCCGAGGGTAAGTATCCGTAGTCTGCGCAATATTGAAGTAGGCTATCTCTGTTTCCCATCGGGTTAGCCGCGACTGTATTTGAGCCATCCAGTCGCTTTTCGGATTCGTCCAGCGATCTCAATTGATCGTTGAAGTCGCCTTAAACTAATACAGACGATGTTGACTAAACACTTTGAAGCAGTAGGAAATGGTTATTTAAGAAATTTTCATTCCAGCGTTGTGCAATTAGCCGATGTTTACACAGAGACGATAAATAAGCACCGGCGCTTTATTCCGTAGCCCTAGACTCGCCCTGAACCATCGAGACATAGTGCACACAGTTCGTTGCTGATTGAAATCCGGTCAAAGATCGAGCTCTTATCCTTGATAATCAACACGATCCCGACGCCGGAAGCTTCGCGAACGTCATTTGGATCTGCTGAACATATGGTAATAATAGGTTCATGTTTGAGTGTTTCAGAGAAACAACATATGTCTAAGTTGAAAGTTCCAAGGTAGCTTGTCGGCCGATCTGGTAGAGTGTGCAACTAAGCGAAAAAAGATTTCAGTTTTATCTGTCCAATAGATTCTGATCTTTTGGTCTTGCCAGTTAACCGCCGTGTGACATCCTGTGAGTGACCGAGGCAGGAGACACCTTACAAGATTTTTGAGTGAGAGAAAGAACTACTGTTCTGATGAGAAGAACGGTTTTCCAGATGGATGCTACAGCATAAACGAATGATGTCGTTTTACTTTGGGAACCCGACCCGGAAACTTCGATTCAAGTATGTGTGTGTAACGGCACTGCCTTAGAGGAGCTGGGGGAGGATCACACGATAAACTACGCTGAGCGCAGATTCAACACGAATTTGATGACCTGTATTCACTATGCTCTCTGTGCCTCCTTGTCTTAACCAGCGTGGGCAGTGTTCCTTCATTCATTGAGATAGTTGCCTCGCCGTGCGGCCAATGCATGTTTCATTACAAACGCACCGGAAGGAGTAAATAACCGTAGAAGTGACCCTCACAGACAGACCGTCTTTGTGGCCAGCCTGTGAACACACGATAGTCGAGCTGCGTTGTAGGTCCACGGACGAAAGCGGAGATCACGTGATATGAAATCAGTATCAAACTCCCAACAAAAGGGAGCACATACTGATTTAACCAATACATTCAAATAGCATCTTCCATCCATTTGACGTTGGTTTCATCTTACTGGTTATTAAAGAGCAATACAGTTGGCGGAGATTAATGAAATGTTAATCTTTCCAATGAATTCCGTTCCACCTGTCAAAAAGAAGTGAACACCCATTCCTCCCAATGAGTTGTATGAGAAGGAAATACTGAGCTCCATATTGGTCTCCTTCACGNTCACGTGTCATTCGAGATATCGCGAAATTTGTTGCACTGTTATGTCAGGTTTTCGATAAATTTCACCCTCGAAGTGAATTCGCAAAAGTCTTTTCCCAGATGACACTTTATTTCGTATCTCACCTGAGGTCTGTCATAGGCCTCATTATATACCACTTTTTACGCTTATTGAGTTTCTGAATGGACCACGTCTTAGGTTGTGTTCATTCAAATAACGCCCAGCAGTTGATATTTGAATGTCATCGAAAGCTTTTACTCATGTTGGAAACGGATAATTTGGCTACCACGACAGTGGTCGTCAGTGGCCAGGGTGTGGCGTGTATTAGAGGAAACTGGTAAATTCTGCTTACCAGTCAACTTGCCGGACTCCATGCAGAAACGACTGACTCTAGTGTTCAAAAACAAAGTAGGGCAAATAGAACTTTGACGGAATAAAAGTGCAGTACTTCTATTCTGCCGGAGTTGCTTTGAAGGTTTTTTTTTACTGAAGTTTGTTTAGTTTACGACCGATGCACCGGCAAACAACGTCGAAATCGAGAACTCATACATTTGCTAGCATTCGCCTAATAGAAACAAAGAAATAAGTGAACATTAATACGGCTATTTTGCGTCTGATGTGAGGTAATATCATATTCGATCCCGTGAAGCAGGCTCAAAATACCATACTTTGTGAGGAACAAATCTGATGAAAGTCAGGGTGTTGCACGAGTTTGGTCTGTAGTTAAATTTGTATGAAACAGGATTTGTACTCTTCGGATATATGTTCATTCGAACTCAGAACTCGATCAAATGTTCTTATCTGTCGCTTATTGTAGTCTTCCGATTGCTACGATCAACTTGATGAATTGCCTATTCCGGGTGGTGGTGGTGCTGGTGTGGTTAACCCGAATTCTCATCTGGGCAGCGCATCCGTCATGAGTCGATCATTCACATCGGGGAACAGTGCAAATGGTTTGGAATCGCGACACAAAGATCTCGGTCAGGCCTCTTCTTCCACTCAAGCTATCACACCTGATGTGTCCACCCCATCTAATCGGACCGCATTTTGTCTACCGAAATTTGAGCGATTAAAGCTATGATGTTTTATCTATCTATCTGTCCTTCGCCCGTTATACTGTAAGCGCCCCATTTGTAAAGCTCACCTTGTCTCCCATCTTCAACACACACATCTCTTCCAGCTCCGTACTCATTGTCACCACATCAAGACCGAAATGGACTGTTCGGCACGGTAAACGGATCCTCAAACCGACTATTCCTTCATCCTTTATTTTCGTTCGTTAGTTGCGCAAAATACGTTTTATGGATGTGTGTATATGTTGGTGCTCACACACACACTATTGACCAGTTCATACCGAGTCTGTTATCACATGCTCCTATCATCGAGATGTGTTTCTGTCTTTATCACAACCTGTTCCAGCCACCTCATCTCTATCTCCCTGGTTTATTTCATCACTTTGATTTTTTTGGTTCTACCACACTTACATAAAACAGGTCCCGTGCATGTAACACACACTGTAGATTGCAAACCTATTACCTACTTC